CACAGATCACCCTCCCGCCCCACAGATCACCCTCCTGCCCCACAGCCCACCCTCCTGCCCCACAGATCACCCTCCTGCCCCATAGATTTGGGATTTCTGTGCACCCACCCAGGGGTATGGGGTTTTTTTTAGACCCTGCACAAATACGCGGCATTTCGTCCCCTCGCCTGGGCACAACGTCTTGTTTAACATCCCTCAGCCAAAGGGAAAGGGCTGAGGAGACCCTGCAGTCTCCAAATTCAACCCCTCGTGTTAGACATCGCTTGGCAAGGGTTAGAAGTTATAAAACAATCCCACGTCACACGGGGTAACTGCGCCATAAAACAACTTTGCAAGCAGATGGATTCCCCCCAAACGCTGCGTGGGCGATGCCACCCATCCCTCCACTTCTGAGGGGGCCTGTGCTAATTGCTACGTGCTGGGAGGATTTTTTTGTGCATGAAATCCAACCTGCTCCAAGGCGACAGACGTGCGGCGCCGGACGCCCTCGCCTTAGCCCATGCTGCCATCTCCCGGCAGCCCGTGGCCACCGCAGCACGGTTGTCCCCACCAGGGTGGCACCCACCAACGTGTCCAAAGACAGCAAGGAGTTGACAAAGCAGCTCTGTCCTCCTCCCTGGCAACCCTGCGGCGTGCTCTATGGTACCCCCAGAGCCCCATTCCCATTCCCACCCCACCACTGTCCCAGGGAACCAGAGCCACCAGTGTCAGGGGGGCTATGGGGAGGAAAATGAATCCAGGAGCAACACCCCAACCCTCCTGGCATTGCTGCGAGTCCCCAGGTCACCCTACCATCGTGATGCCAAGGCTCCAGATATCCGACTTGACGCTGTACCCCTTCTGGTTCAGCTCTGGGTTAATTCTTTCAGGCTGCGAACAAAGACAAAGGTGGTTGAGGAACAGGGACGGCCCCAGTGCAATGTCCCAGGGCTCACTGACCTCAGACGGGACTTTCAGGGTGGCAAGCCAGGACCACTTAACCCATGCCACCAGCTTGCTCCCTCGGTTGTGATGGGGCCATATGCGGTCCCCCATCCTTGCCAGTAAGGGCAGGCAGTGACATGGGTCACCAGAAGCAGATGGCACCCGCACGAGGGACTGGGGTGGTGGAGCTGACCCAGCACATCTGGCACATAGGGGGGTGACATGCCCCAATTCTCCAGGACTGTTTTTACCCTGTGCAAGTGCTCCACAGAGAGTGAACCCTGAACAGCAGCTCCCAGGAGGAGCATGAGGGTCCCACTCCCTGGGGACTTTCCAGATGGAAAGTACTATTGTCCCCACAGGGCAAATAACAAAAATACAACACGGAGTAACTGCAGAGCCTCCCCCAAGGTCACAGGGAGGCGATCAGGCAGCAGGAAGCTGTGCCCAGGAGATCTGATCTGACCCAGGAGATCCTTCTGCCCTCTCTGCCCCTTTACAAGTCACTTCAGGGCTACGTCTTCCAAAACGAGTCCCCAGGACACATGCCGGAGGCTGATCCTTCCCCCTTTAGGATGACCCGATGCCCAGGCTCAGGTTCCTCTGGCTGTCCCGCAGCAGCTTTCGCATGCAGCTTCTCCGCGGCTCAACTTACAGCCATGTAGGGTTTGCATCCTGCATCCATGGTTTTAGCAACCGAGTCAACGAGGTAACCGCTAATTCCAAAATCGCACATTTTCACCTGCCCCTGTGTATTGATCAACACGTTAGAGGGCTTTACATCTGCAAGAAGGAACACATACCACAGTCAGTCAGGTGTGGGTGGCTGTGCCAAGCCAAAAAGAGCTTCCTAGCAGCAGAGAGCACCGAAGGCACCCGTGCAAACCCCTGCGCTTTGTGCATGCCAGAAACCCGGCTGGCTGGGGCTATTCCAAGTTCAGGTGACTGTCTCATGGGCCTGTCATATGTCCTGCAAGTGTCCCTTCGCTTGCAGACTCCTCTCTGATTTGGAGGAGTGGGAAGTGACCCTGCATGTACCCGTTGCATGCCACTGCGCAGGGGATGGCCACGGACAGCAGGGCGCTCACAGGGGAGCAGCTCAGCAGGGCTGGGGGCATCCCCAGAGGATGTCTGCAGATGGCTCGAGCTCTGGCAAGTCCCCAGCTGGACCTGGTCTTGTGCCCACAAAAGGAAAAACCCACAGGGAAAGGACAAGGGGTGGAGAAGAACAGGGATTGCAGGGAAAAGAGGGAGCTGTAAACTAAGGCAAGGATCAGAATTTCAGAAATGGCCTCTGATTTTAAGGATGAGGGGTGGAGAGGAACAGGGATTGCAGGGGAAAGAGGGAGCTATAAACTAAGGCAAGGATCAGGATTTCAGAAATGGCCTCTGATTTTAAGGATACCAAGCTCGAAGGCAACGTGAACAGCAGCAGGCGTGTGGGTGCTCCATACTTTATGGAAATCAGGCCAGTGGCTCATCTATTTATTACTGCCAGATTTATCTGCTTCCCATCACAGCCTTACAATCCTTGGTGCACTCACACTGGCATCACGCTCATGAAGGCAGTTATAATCGCCATCAGAAGGGGAAATTAAGGCACAGAAAGAAGCTAGTAAGTGGTACCCATGAGAGCATGGAGGTGCTTTCCTCCACAGCAGGGGATCGCTCCCCATAAGGCTAATCCCAGGGGGAACCTCAACACAGCAAGGCAGTGCAGGGTCCCCTGTTTTCTCTTGTCCCAGCACTGATCCTCCAAAGGGAGCAATCCTGTCCCTGCTGCCACACAGAAATAAGAGGTCTCTTCCGCAAGAAGGTGCTCTGTCTGCATGTGATAATTAAACAGAAGAGCTGAAACACCATCCGAAGGAGGCCAGAAGCTGCTTTGCAGTCCTGCTTATTAGAACTGTGTGGTTAACAGCTCATTAACCTCTGCTCCCTAATCAGCATTCTGCAATCAAAAGCCTCAGGTACCTGAGATCCTCACCCATCTGTTACTATGCTGAAATAAGATGATTTTCAGTGGGAAGCAAACAAGTAAACAGAAATCCAGAAGCCAAACAGCATTTTCCACCTACGGTAAACAATACAGAAGGCAGAAACTCAAGCCCCAGCCACAGGCAGAATGTACAAAATGTGACTGCCTGCTGGAGCCCAACTCTGCTCACTTCAGATGCTCCTTTCCCCAGAAAGGAAAGAAGGCTTCTTCCTCCTCATGACAAATTGAAAATGACCCTTTAAAAATAAAGGTTTCAAGTAGCTACATGGATAATTTGCTTTTTGTTCATGGCATCTTTGAGATGCTCTAGAGGGGAAAATGTCAGAAGAGTTGCAGAAGGGTATTCATGACTTCACTTGAGGCTATTTTTGGTATCAAACTATTCTGCCCCACCAGTGCTCAGGGAAGCCACAGAAGGGGATGAGGATGGTTAGGTCACTTTGAGCTGCCCCTCACCGCATGTCACCATGAACCCACCGAGTTAGGGGAGAAGCCTTCGTAAAGCCTGATCCAAAGCCTCCCAAGGTCAGAAGGAAAAGTCTGTTTTCATTTTGCAGAGGTGCTGAAGCAGACCATGGATTTAGACCCTGCGTTAGGGAAACTGAACCCAGAGGGAAGAAACAGCCCTTCTCTGCCAGCCCAACCAGGATGGAGCTTGTTTCTCCTCCACCTCGGGGAAACGCTGCGTCCAGCAGGCAATTTTTAAAGAGCAAACCAGCAGACTTTTCTTCTGACTAGGTTTTGCTAGTCATGAGAGGCTGGGGGATGTTTTTGCTGTCAAAGGCCCATTTTATCTCGGGTATTTGGGGAGCCCTGTGCCTGACCAGCCCTTGTGAGGCTGAAAGCACATGGCGCAGGGCAGACAGACACCAGCGTGGTCGTGGCACTTACCTCTGTGGATGACGGAGAGCTTACTGTGTAGATGTTCTAGTGCTTTTACGATCTGAAACAACAAATCTAGAGTGAATCACAGCTGGCAGCACCATGATGAGGAGGAAATGCCACCTGGCCTCACCTGCCCCATCCTCACCAGACCTCCCTGGAGGGAAGGAACGACATCTCCCACGAGTCCTGCACCCTCCCAGCAGCCCAAGGTGACGGTGGGTACCCAGGGATCTCCCCGGGGCACCAGGACCCCAAGGAGAAGGCAAAGGAGCTGCAGGGCCTCCCCACATCTAACACTGTGCCACCTCTCAATTCCGTTCACATTTGGGATATTTATGCCTCAGACAAGATACTGGAAGTCAGCTGGGAATGTCCACATGGGCTGGTCCGTGGACCATGCTCTTCCTGACACAGATACAGCGGGGAGACTGGGTCATGCAGGACTTGGTTTAGAAGAGAAACACCCTTTCCCTTCCCTCCTCGCCCTGAGAATACTCACAGAGACGGCTATTTTTCCCAAGATATCCTCAGGAATCGTCAGGCCTTTGTCAATGACGTGTTTGTAGAACTTGTCCAGTGAGGTATCCATCAGCTCCATGCAAATCCACACGTCTCCCTGGAGGATAAAGAAAGCAAATATCTGCCCACTAGAATGAAACATCCTTTCCTTTCCTTTCACGTGCAGAGGTCTTCTTTGGCACTTGCCTTTTGCTGGCCTGTTTGCCTCTTCCCTGTCTTTTAAAACTCATCCAACAAAACTGTGCTGGGCTTTCTC